GAATAGGGGCCAACTGGTAGAATCCCACCTCTGACTGCACCCCATTGTTTAATGCCAACACAATTGTTAAATTTGCGGGTTTTATTGTGAATTTTCGTTGTATGCATATGTACAATGACAATAAACAATTCAATTCTATACCCCGTGATGGCGAACCCATGGCACTCGTGCCAGAGGTGGCATGCAGAGCCCTTCCTCTGGGCACGCGAGCCATCGCCCTAGCTCAGCTCTGCCATGCATGTGTGTATGCGCCTCCTGCCAGCCAGCTGGTCTTTGGATCTCTGCCACGCCTGTGCGGGGGATGGGACCTGTGTGGGGGTTGCACACACATGCACAGGCGGTGGGGCGCATGTACGGGGGGTCATGTACACGGGGGTCATGTGCACATGCATGGGGGTCATGAGGGGTTCACAAGCATGTGCGGGAATGGGGTGTTTGCGCAAGGGGTGCATGCACTGCATTTTGGGGATGCGCGTGCGCGCTTTGGGCATTTGGTGCCGAAAAGCTTAGCCATTACTGACCTATGCCATCTCAGAAAAGTGACTGTCCAATCTCTTCTTAAAAACCTCCAGTGATGGAGCGCCCACGATTTCTGGTGGCAAGCAGTTCCACTGGTTAATTGTCCTCACTGTTAGGAAGTTTCTCCTTAATTCCAGGTTGCTTTTCTCTTTGATCAGTTTCCATCCATTGTTTCTTGTCCTGCCTTCTTTGGTGCTTTGAAAAATAATTTAAGCCCAGGGGTGGGATTCTACCAGTTCGCACCTATTCGCCAGAACCGGTTGTTAACATTCTAAGCAGTTCGGAGAACCGGTTGTTAGAAGAAATTACTGGCCTAATCCTGTAAGGAAGGCAGGAAGGAAACATTCTGGTGTTGCTTACAGAAAGTGCCTCTCCGTTAACCCTTATTACATTCTTGGCAGGACTAGACTTCCTATCTCAGGAACTTCTCTGGGGATTTTTTCCCTTCCTTTGCTGGTCCTTTGCTTGTGTGGAGTGACATTCAAAGTTATAATGGCACTGAAAAAAGTGACTTATGACCATTGTTCACACTTACGACTGTTGCAGCATCCCCACAGACATGAGAGGCCAGGCGAGGAGATGCGTGCCTCGATTGAGTTGGCCACGCCCAGCCAATAACATGACCACCAAGCCACACGCACCAACTAAGCCACACCCACAGAACCGGTTGTTAAAAATTTTGAATCCCACACCTGTTTAAGCCCCTCTTCTTTGTGGCAGCCTCTCAAATAGTGGAATCCTGCCGTCATGTCACTCCTAATTCTTCTTTTCTTTCAGCTAGCCAAGCCTAAATCCTGCAGCCGTTCTTCGTAGGGTTTAGTCTCCAGGCCAGTTGTTCTTTCTCTGCACTTTTTCCAAAGTCTCAGCAATTTTTTCGTAATATAGTGACCAACATTGGTTGCAGTATTCCAGGCGTGGTCTTACTGGGGTTTTATAAAGCGGGACTAATACTTCACGTGATCCTATGCCTCTGTTTATACAGCCCAGGATTGTATTTGCTTTTTTTGGGTGGCGGCTGCACACTGCTGGCTGGTATTCAAATGATCATCCACTAGGACTCAAAGGTCCCTCTCACAGTTACTGTTTTTGAGCCAGGTCTTGCCTAATCTGTACGTACACCTTTGATTTTCCCTGCCTAAATGTAAAGCTTTGCTTTTCTCCACCTTGAGATTCATTCTGTTGGATAGGGCCCACTGTTCAAGCTTCTCAAGATCTCTTTGGATCTTGAGCTTGTCTTTTGCGGTGTTGGCTATTCCTGCCAGTTTAGTGTCCTCTATATTATACATCTATAACTATACATTTAGTATCATTTCATAGCTCCCTAGTCCTGTCTCAAAGGGGCTTTTTCAAAAGGCTTTTTCACTGGTTGGCAACCATTGGACTAGATGACCTACAAGGTCCCTTCCAACTCTGATTATCTGTTAAATTAAATTACCAGCCCAAGAGGACCCCAGCCTTACTGCATAGACGTGTTCTCCGTACGCAATCACGCCGATCCCACTGCGCCTGCTACGCATGGGTGCAATCAAGCTCCACTGATCCACCTTGGCATCGTAGACCTCCGCCGTGAAGAGACACTCGTTCCCATTGAAACCACCACAAATGTAAACCTTGTATTTGCAAAAAAAAAAAAAAAAAAATGGAAAAAAAGGAGGCGGGGAGTTAATTATATGGATGCTCACACTGACAACGTTGGAAGGATATTAATCATATGCATAAGGAAGAGCCAATGTATATATAGTCAATGCCAATCCTATGCATAACGAAGTGTCAATCCTATGCATGAGGATGAGTCGATGTAAGGTGTACAACCTGGTGAGAATTAGTGTTTATAATGAAGATTATCTCTGTGCTGTTGGCTAGTTCTACAACATGAACTTGGACCATAGGTGGTATTCAGCCGGTTCTGACCAGTTCTGGAGAACCAGCAGTGGAAATTTTGAGTAGTTTGGAGAACCGGCCAATCCCACCTATTGACTGGCCCCACCAATTCCATCTCTTCTCTGCCTCCCATGGAGTCCCAGCTGATCGGCTGGGTCTTCTTTGGTTGCCCTGCACAGGAGAACGGAGCTGGAAAGCAGGTCAGTGGGGTGGGGAGGGAATGGGGATTTTGCAGTATCCTTCCCCTGCCATGCCTACCAAGCCATGCCCACAAAGCACACCATGCCACACCCACAAAACCAGTAGTAAAAAAATCTGAATCCCACCACTGACTTGGACCCATTCTACAACACAATTAATTCTGGGTACTCTCTAACCCTTATTTTATAGCAGCATCCATGCTTATTTTAATGCCTAGCTCAAATCATGGTTTTCTTCTCTGTCCAGAGTGGAGCACGGGTCTCTTAAGGCAAGGGAAAGTCCATGATGCCTGGAATTCAGTTCCAAAAAGATGCTTCAGACTTCCCAGGAGTGTGAATTGAGCCTGGTCTGCAGCTCTTTAAAGCAACTGCATCTTTCCCTGGCATAGCATAGCTGCTGTCAACCCTGTAGCTGGCCTGACGGAGGCCAGTTTGAGACTTCAGAGCTGAAAGTGGTGTAGCCAAAACAAAATGCTTTCTCGTGGGAACCAAGGACATTCCTGCAGATGCTCAGAAGGAGGGGACTGGAGTCACCTAGCAACTAGACAGCATCCTGATTGGATCATGGGACTGGCTGTTTTGAAAAAGTGACAAACTTTCACTTTTAATCAGGTGAAACCCGTGGGAATATTCAGAGTCAGTTTTCACCAGCTTGTGCCAATATGACATACCCAATAAATCTATTATTTGAGGAATTTGCCTGCTTCAGAGTTTTGTTTGCTATGGGTTTAAGGAGCTGCAAGCTGATCTATTACTCTGACCCAACAAACATCAGATCAGGGAAGCCATTTGGATTTGACTTAGACTGAGTTTTGTTCAGTGCATTACTGGTTCTGAGAATCACGTTCCATCTTATGTTCTGGCCTTCACCTGATTTTGATGTAGAAGAGAAATCAAATTAGGTGTCATCAGTTTCTTGAGCATACCTTGGTTCATTTTGCTCCTACCTTCTTTTCTTTCTCTCTTTCAGAATAAACCCGTAACGTTTGCCTTAACAGCAGCTTTGGGAAATGTACAAGGATAAGAAATGTGGGGAAAGAAAGTTGGTTTTTTTGCCCCCGAGCCAGGAATCACTGTTGATCTTTATGTGGCACACTCCAAAATCAAAAGTTATCATGCCCCTCTTGGAGTCTGAATCTGCCAATGGGGCACAACAGATCCAAGGCATGAGTGTGCAAAAGACCTGGCAATTGTATTCACTGTTTGTTGTGGTTAGCCAGCAGCAGGTGCGGACAGCTGAGGAGATCGAGGACTCAGATGAGGGGCCAGGACCATTAGGGAGTGGACTGCTGTCTTCAGAGGTTGTGGGGGCTGGCAGCAGTGATGAGGAGGTTCCCGAGGAGCCTGTGCCAAGTGCGCATGTGCGCAGGGCTGCTCGCAGGAAAGAACAGCTGCAGCAGCACGGGTGACTCGGGAGTAAGGCTGCAAGGTAATGGCCCCTCCTTCAAGAAGATAAAAGCCAGCTATGAATCGGACGTTCTTTGCAGGAAGAAAAAACGTTTTGAAACTCAGCCTCGTGGACATTACAGTATCTTAAGTTGGTATTTGAAGGCTCTTGTGTTATGAAATATTTCTTATCTGTTATTCTTGGCAGTCTCGCAGTTTTGGCGAAGCTTGTGCTTAACAAAGTTAATTAGTTTGCAGCAGCCTTTTAACCGGGGATACATAAGAATCATTAAAAGGTTTCTGTTCCTTTTGGTTCGTGTTTGTTTTATTGGAAAAGGGTTTGGGTCAGAACACTGTTGGAAAATTCTGCACAATAGTTACCTTTCCGTAGAGTGTCGTGGCACTCGCGTCACTCCTCTGCTCGTGCATGGGAGCGATTAAGGTCCACTGGTTGGTCTCGGGCTCGTACCTCTCTGCCGTGTTGAGGCGCACGTAACCGTCAAAGCCACCCATGGCATAGATGAAGTTATCAAGGACGGTGACACTAACGTAGCAGCGCCTGGAGTGCATGGGAGCCACCTGGTGCCAGGTTTTTTTGATGGGCTCAAACCGCTTGACACTGTTGAAGTAGTCCACGCTGTCAAACCCGCCAATGATGTAGACGTAGCCCTTCAGGTAGGCAGCGCCGTGGTACGCCCGGGGACTCTCCTGCTGGCAAGTCACATTCACCCAACGATCCGCCCGGGCGTCGTATGTCTCAATCGCATTGGTTGGGCTCCCTCCGCTCCAACCACCGATGGCAAACAGGATGGCGTAAGGGAGCCGGGGTCTCGTCAGTGGATTGGTGAAGTCGGAACTCGACGGGCCGTTCATGTTCAGGTCGTACATGGCTTTGAGGGCATCGATCACGATGGGCTTGCACTCCTCGCTGTCCTTCACATAATCGTGCATTTTGACGTTGTTCATGAAATACTCTGCATGCATCAAGGCCAGACGGACCTTCAAAGACAGAAGGAGGATTGAGAGAGCAGAGGTGGTATTCATCCAGTTCTGACCGGTTCTGGAGAACCGGTAGCAGAAATTTTGAGTAGTTCAGAGAACCAGCAAATCCCACCTCTGGGTGGCCCTGCCCCCATCTATTCTCCGCCTCCCATTGAGCCATATTTCCGGACTGCGCGTTGATGTAAACCACGATGTGGGGCTTTGGGGGTATCAGTTGGTGGGGGTTTATGATCCTGATTCAGAGAGATGGTGGGGGGGGGGCAGGGAATGGGAGGTAGGTAAGGATACAGAAGGGATAGATAACACGGGGAAAGAAAGGAATGTAAATGAAGATTAGGCGGTGACAAACAGGCATGGGGAGGAGGTGTGGGAGTGGAGAATGCAGCAGCGGATGTCAGGTTGTTAGCTGGGAGGGACTAGAACAAGTTGACGCTTGACGAACGTATCTTTTCTTTTATGGACACTGAGACCATTTGCACCAAGACAAATTCCTTGTGTGTCCAGTCACACTTGGCCAATAAAATAATTCTATTCTATTCTATTCTATTCTATTCTATTCTATTCTATTCTAT